CCACTCCATGGAGAGTTCAGGTTGATTCCATCCAAAAACATACATGTTAGGCTGCCTTCAGGCCCAGGCCTCTCTTGCAGAAGAGATCTGTGATCTCAATGGGATTTGCCTGGTTAATAAATAAATCCAGGTATCTGCTGCCCAGATGTAGAACGAACAGACTGAAAAACTCATTCATCCCTGTAGAGATCAGGTTTTTCAATGAACACTGAGACATTAAAATAACAGTATAGTATGGATGTTTTATGAGCCTACTGATTGTGAAACTAATTGCTCCTTGGGGCTAATAAAGATTCTTGAACTTGAACTTTCGCTCTTGGCGCCGTGTTAACACACCCGTCTGCTCCAGAGCAGCAAATCAACAAAGCTCCTCTTTTAAAGAGGCGATGATCAGTTAATGAAAACATTCAATCGGCAGCTCCTGGCTGCAGCTGAACCTCCTAAATGCTACGGAAGCTGCAAGAATGGACTTAGTTTTTTATAAACACAGCTTTTCCATTGTGTCTTCATTGGGGATTACATTTAATGAACAATGAACGGTGGAATCTGTTGTGCTGTTTTGTACGCTTAAAGTTGAATTTAAATAGTTTTAGGACAAACTGGACTATTTTTGTTACACATCTTGGAACCAAGAGAAGGATTATTGTTGGTTTCCCATGACCATCGGTCATCTGGATGTTAGAAGCCAATGAGTCAGGTCTCTCTTGAAAATGAGTTCTCGTGGCTCAATGAGACTACCTGTATAAATAAAGGCTAAATAAATGAAGAAAAAAAAATTGCTACCTTTTCAATGTTTAAATGAACACATGATGAAAACAAAGAGCGCTCTTGATGCGTTATTAACCAATCACTGCAGAGCTGACTCAACTTCAGCCGCTGCAGCTCAGTGATGTGTTGCACAGATGCTTGCATGAGATACGACCTGAAGAGCAGAACAAGAAACATCCTGCAGCTCCACTCAAGTAACCGGAACATTAACGCAAGATAAGACTCCTGCACTTTTAACATCTGTCATGGTTTAGTTAAAGCCTTTTTAAAGGAGTGCTGTACAACAGAGCAATTACAAAAGGAAAAACAATATTCATCTATCTTTGTTCACAAGATTTTCCTCATAAAGTTATGAAAAAAACAGCTTCAGTTCACTGATGTTTGCAGACAGTAGTTTCTGTTCGGTGCAACGTTTTGTTCAGGTTGCGGTTCAGACTTTGACTGGACAACACGTTCATCTTTTTTATTCTTCCACTCTGTTGGGAGATCAGCTGCTGCGTTCAGGATCCTTGTTCTGTTGCATCGTGACTAAGTTTGGTCCAAGCTTCACAGCCTTTACCCTGCTAACAGAGGCCTAAAGATGCTCATCTGTAGTGCATGGTCTGACCTTTGGGTGAATTTACTAGGTTATCCATTCCTGGTAAAATTGGCAGCCATGTTAAATGTTTTCAACTCGTAAATAATTGATCTCTCTGTAGAAGTCCAAGTTTGATTAGAATTGACCTTTAACTCATCCCAAGTTAATGAGCAGGAACAGCTGTTGCTCTGAGGCCACTGCTGATGTCTTTCTGCCCTGGCATTGTGATATTTATTGGACTCATTTAATTCAACTCAGCATGTAAACGGTCCCATAGAGCGCGGACAAACACTGGACCTTGTTTTAACTCATGATGTGACTGTTAGTAATCTTGTTATTGGTGATAATATTTTTTCAGACCACATGCTGGTCCAGTTTGAGTTCACCCTCCCCCATCTAACTCCCAAGTCGTGCATTCTTGCACGTAGTACCCGGGATATTAACCATATCACTGCCACACGTTTCACAGATGTTTATAACTCTGAAATGATCATTCAGCCCCCAGTGTTTCTCTCCACCACTGAGGAGCTGACATCCCAGTTCAACTCTGTCTGCTTAAAGACTCTGGATCATGTTGCGCCTGTTAAAACTAGAAAATCAAAACTGAGAGCAGAACCTTGGCTGAGTGACGTCACCAAGGCCGTTAGGCAGCAATGTAGGAGGGCGGAGCGCAAGTGGAGGAAAGACAGGCTGCAGGTCTCTTTTCAAATACTTAGAGTTGGCGCCGTTATCAGAAAGCAGTGAAAGCTGCTAAATTCAAATACTTTTCTGATATAATTACCTCACACTCTCGCAACCCACGTGTTCTCTTCTCTACCCTAAACTCTGTTCTCCACTTCACTGAACCTTCACCTCTGGAAGCCTCGACTGAGCTGTGCGACAACTTCCTACATTTCTTTTTGGAAAAAATTGCGACCACCAGGGCTCTCATTTCCCCTCCAACTCATGACCCATCCATCCCACCTCAATCTGTAGCTCCTTTTGACCATTTTGAACCCATCACTCTATCTTCTCTAGAGCAGGTCATGTGCAGCTTGAAACCTTCTGGCTCCCCCTTTGATGTGGTCCCCCCTCGACTACTAAAGGAGGTTTGTCCAACTCTAGGTCCGTCCATTCTTGATATAGTAAACAGTAGTTTATCCACTGGCGTGGTGCCAAAATCCTTTAAACATGCTGCTGTTCAGCCTCTCCTGAAAAAACCAAACCTTGACCCCTCAGTCATGTCCAACTTCCGGCCAGCCTCCAAACTCCCATTTGTTTCAAAAGTACTGGAGAAAATAGTTGAGTCCCAGTTGAAGTGCTTCCTGGAGGGTCACACCATTTTAGAGCTATTCCAATCTGGCTTTAAACCTCTCCACAGCACTGAAACTGCCCTGCTGAAGGTCTTTAACGACATCCTCATATCCACAGATACCAGTGATTCTGTGCTGCTTGTCCTGTTGGACCTCACAGCCGCCTTTAACACCATCGACCATGAGATCCTCATTGCTAGGTTGGAGCAGTGGGTGGGCGTCACAGGATCAGCCCTCAATTGGTTCAGATCTTACCTCACTGACAGATCCTTTTTGTATCTCCATCAAGGATTTTAGTTTCGCAGAGGCAGAGCTTAAATGGGGGGTTCCGCAGGGGTCCATCCTGGGTCCCCTCCTATTCTCTTTATACCTGCTGCCGCTTGGTGCTATTTTCCGGAAACACAACATGCCCTTCTACTTCTACGCCGATGACTGTCAAATTTACTTCCCCCTAAGACACAATGGTACATGCTCTATTCAACCGCTGCTCGACTGCCTGGCTGACATCAAAGACTGGATGGCTTTAAATTTCTTGAGTTTCAATGAAAAGAATTCTGAAGTCATGTTGTTCCCTCCCAACGACACAATCACAAACCACTGCATCGACCTCTCCGCTCTAACCCTGTCAGAAAAACAAAGAGTCACTAACCTAGGAGTGATAATGGACCCTTCCCTGAAACTTAACAATCATGTAAACATGATTGTTAAATCATGCTTCTTCCAACTGAGGCGGCTGTCTAAACTGAAGCCCATATTGTCTAAAAATAACCTGGAGACAGTAATACATGCATTCATTACATCTAGGCTTGATTACTGCAATTCACTCCTGTTTGGTATCAGTCAGACCTCCATTGCACGACTACAACTGGTCCAGGATGCAGCAGCCCGATTTTTAACCAGCACAGGCAAAAGAGAGCACATTACACCAGTTTTGGCCTCCCTGCACTGGTTACCGGTTCACTTTCGAATCCAGTTCAAAATACTCATGTATGTCTACAAATCACTGAACAGTGTCCCCCCCCCCATCTCTATGATTTGCTACAATCGTATGTTCCACCACGCCCCCTGAGGTCAGCGGACCAGTTTCTCCTCACAGTTCCAGGAACTCGTCTTAAGCGCAGAGGTGACAGGGCCTTCTCTGTAGCAGGACCAAGACTCTGGAATGAGTTACCTCTGTTTGTCAGACAGGCCCCCTCCCTCTCGGTTTTCAAATCCCGTTTAAAAACTCACTACTATTCAATAGCTTTCAACACCAGATGATCTGTTTTGAGATCCTGTATGCTCTACACTGGTTTGTCGTCATTATCTGCATCGTTTTTGTCTATATTCTGATTTACCTCATTTTGTATTTTGCTTTGTGTGTTACCTGTTGTTTTGTCTGTACAGCACTTTGGTTGGCCTTGTTGCTGTTTTAAGTGCTTTATAAATAAAGTGGTATGGTATGGTATGGTTACTTTAGGACAATACAGGTCCTTCTCAAAAAATTAGCATATTGTGATAAAGGTCATTATTTTCCATAATGTAATGATAAAAATGAAACTTTCCTATATTTCAGATTCATTGCACACCAACTGAAATATTTCAGGTCTTTAATTGTTTTAATACTGATGATTATGGCATACAGCTCATGAAAACCCAATCGGGGGCAGCATCTTGAGCAGGGAGGTCCAGACATCTCTCCTGCCTCTTCCAGCTCTTCTGGGAGGACTCCAAGGCATTCCCAGACCAACTGAGAGACATAGTCTCTCCAGCATGTCCTGGGTCTTCCCCGGAGTCTCCTCCCAGTCAAACATGCCCGAAGCACCTCCCTATGGAAGCACCCAGTGAACATCCTTACCAGATGCCTGAACCACCTCAAATGGCTCCTCTCAATGTGAAGGAGCAGCGGTTCTACTCCGAGTCTCTCCTGATAACTGAACTTCTCACCCTCTCTGGAATTAGGGAAAGGGTCATTCTGACCTTTTTTGTACCATCTAGCTCACCTGTTTTTATTAAACTGAATTAAACCTCTTGATCTGATTCCTGATGTTCCTGCAGAATTATATCTGCAGCCAAAGCATGACTTGACCCATTTTATCTTATCTGTGTGAGTTCACAGCAAAATGACCTTTTCCCCAGTTAAATTAATAATATTTTACTAACCAAATAGTTAATAAATATCAACATAAAATCATTTTGATCTTACAACTATCTTACTTACTTTTGGTGTTTTGCACACATTTATCAGCTGCACTTTACATGCAAACCCAGATCCTGTAATACTTATACAGTCAAATATGAATTTGTTTTGCAAGCGCTGTTCAGTTTATTTGAATAAAGACATGTAATCCCTGTAATCTCCTATCTCAACAAGAAATACACACCTTGATAAGATGCTGTGCCGTGTAGAAACCAGCCGGACCACCTCCAACAACACACACTTTTGGACAAGTGGAAGAGTAAAAAGCCTTTCCACACACACCAAGGCCTGCAGAAACAAGCAGAAATGTACAGTATGTGCAGCCACAACATGCATGGAGCTAAATGGAACTAATCCATTAGAGGGTTAAACTAATCTTATGTAACAGGTCAATGCTCATCAAAGACAAACACAGTTTATCTCCAAGTTTTATAATAGTCATTATATTTACACATGTGCCGAACTAAAGAGTAGATTGGGTTTAACCAAAAAGTGGCATGTTTTTTAACAGGAGTGGAGTTTTGCCAGCACATTCCTTACAAAACTTAAAATTGACTAGATTTTGAGTGAGGTTCGTACAGTCAGGGCTCACCTTCGTGAAGTCTGGTCCTTCCTGAGGTCCACAGCTTCAGCAGAGTCCGGCCTCTCATCGTGTCTCTGTCTCACATTTAACTCACCAGTTGTGTTGTTCCGCTGGTCTGTGCCTGCTTCCCCGCTCCTCTGAGCGTTGGACAGTCCCAGTAAAGGATCAAAAGCCAAGGTAGAGACTGTTAATCTTCACTGCGGAGTTTTATTTGACCCGCTGCTCGAGTTGAGCTTTTTTTATTTATTTAATGCTAACCGTTAGCAACGCGTTCAAGTCTCGGTTCCTTCTTAACTTCTCTCCATTTTCAAACTTAATAACTATTAAGTTACAAAATCTGCCGGTTCTGTTCAAAGCTGGGAATGGTGTACCAGCAACAACAGCCCGCGGAAAACAAACAGCGAAGCGCGAACGTTCCGCGGACACAACTTCCCTTTTTAATCAAGCTTTTTTATTTATTTACTGCTGTGATATATCATACACAATAAAGCTGTGATTACATTTTCTAAACGGAAATTGATGTAAGTCACACACATGCACGTTTTATTTTTTTTTCCCCCAGTAATCTTTAAATTAGCACCTTACACATATTGTTAATATTTCTGGTAATTTTATTATTATTGATCTAATTTACAGTATCTTGGCACAATTACCTCTTTAGGCTTGAGCCGAGTTAAACACAAAGAACAGTTCCAACCTAACCAGGTTCAGTGAGGTCCTCTGGACGGATTCTTGTTTGTTGAAATGTTTAATCTTTTACTCAAAAGACTTATTCAGTCTGAGAAAAGCTCCAACCCTTTCAGATTTTGACACAAAATGACTGTTGCAAAGGCCTATGAGCTCAACTTTTGTTGCTTAAAATATAAATACTTTGCTAAAACGCTATTTAACGCCTCATTTATATATCTATGACCACTTTCTTTATTTCTTTGCATCAGTTTAATATGCGAGTCAATCATCTTTAAAGTTAGTTTGCTTTTTGTAAATCTTCACAGGACTACACAGTGGAGTTTCTGACTCCAACTCCAATTCTTTACACCTCTGCTTTAAATAATTAATAATAATACTGTACAAACCGGATTCCAAAAAAGTTGGGACACTAAACAAATTGTGAATAAAAACTGAATGCAATGATGTGGAGGTGCCAACATCTAATATTTTATTCAGAATAGAACACAAATCACAGATCAAAAGTTGAAACTGAGAGAATGTATCATTTTAAGGGAAAAATCTGTTGTTTCCAAATTTCATGGCGTCAACAAATCCCAAAAAAGTTGGGACAAGTCCATTTTTACCACTCTGTGGCATCCCCCCTTCTTCTTACAATACTCAACAGATGTCTGGGGACAGAGGAGACCAGTTTCTCAAGTTTAGAAATAGGAATGCTCTCCCATTCATGTCTAATACAGGCCTCTAACTGTTCAATCGTCTTGGGCCTTCTTTGTCACACCTTCCTCTTTATGATGCGCCAAATGTTCTCTATAGGTGAAAGATCTGGACTGCAGGCTGGCCATTTCAGTACCCGAATCCTTCTCCTACGTAGCCATGATGTTGTGATTGCTGCAGAATGTGG